TAATCTCCTCGCTGGAAGTAGATAAGGTGCTACTAATCCGAGTGGGTCAAACACGGACGACAACACACAGAGCACACCTCTCCGAGTGACTGGCTTATCAATATCACCAACACTAAATCCAAAGGTATCAGAGTTCACATCCCATCGCATACCTAATGTACGTTCAACTGGTAGAGTGTCAACAGGTAAATCTCTTACAGTAGGTGCTCTGTCTTCTGAAGCTATATGCTTCAAAAAGCCTAGGCCGTTCGAGACTCACTTAATTAAACAAAAACCAGCCTTAGCTAACACCTCGATAATACTTGCTGCAAATTTAACTGCAGACTCATCATCATCGAAAGAGGCTAAAAAATCATGCACATAGAAGCAACAATCAATGATGTCCAGCAGATCATCAGAACCAAACGAGGACACAGCCTTACGTAGAGCAAAATTAGCACAGAACGGGGAGGACGTGGCACCAAATGGATGAACTGTCATCCTATATTCTGACACCTTACCATAAGGACCATCAAACCACAAGAACCTTAAGTGATCTCTGCCGCTCTTTGGCACCTTCACTTGTATGAACATTTCCTCTATAAACGCAGCGACAGCAACTGCAAACCTTCTGAATCTTAACAGCAGTCCAACTAATGAGCTCACGCAATCTGGACCACTATATAGATAATCACTCAAACAATCTCCTTTCTGTTTCGCAGAACAATCGAACACCACACGGAGTTTACCTGCCTTTCTCGGATAAAGGACGGGATGTTGAGGCAAATACCACATCAAAATCATCCACCTGAGCTACAAATCTTCTCTATCATATCCAAATACCACTTTCCTGGCTCGCTCTGATCAGCTAGTCTTTCAACGTAACCTTTCATTACATTTCATTACATGTTTGTCGATGACATCGTTATATTTGGTCCAGAGACCTGCATCCGTCACAAACTTCTTTAAACCCATTAATCTCTTAAGAACAGCCTCTCTGCTGCAAATCAACTGTCCATCTTTAAATCTCCATGGTAAACCAAGGCTGAAGCGCTCATGTTCCTATCTACATGACTCCTCAACTATTTTATCTGCCTTTAAGTCTTCCACAGAACGACCCTTCCCTGGGATACTGCTGTCACAAAACTCCCTATCATACATATTTCTAATAATAGTCTCTAGTTTGTCCCCATTGTTTGTAACCAATGACGATATATGGACCATAGGTATAGGTCCTCTCACTATCCATCCCAGTGTTTTCGTCGCGAACAGATCATCTCTACCTCCGTATCTCTCTTCTAATACCTTGTGAGCTTCTGGTACACTACATCCAGCGAGTATTCTCACTCTACAATCTTGAAGTATTGGAGACGGTATGTCACACAGGTGTGGCTTACTGACAACTGTTTCACGACTAGGTACCATAGCTTCGCTGAGTTTCATACTAGAATTAGTGTAAGCAGTACCTACTTCAACGGATTCTCCAGTAGTCAAGGATTCTAACTGAAATGACGCTCGCTCACATATTAACGTTTTCGAAGAATTGAAAGTATTTACGACCAAGGATTGTTTTGGGCCCTCAACACCCAAGCAGCCAGCCAGCTTAGCATCTATCAATGTAATGTCAGAACCATTATCTAGCAACGCATATGTATCGACACATGACCTTAGTCCTCTTACTCTGGAAGTCGTGCGGTGCAAAACTGCTACTAAAATTAATAGAACTCCCCTAATCCTTCGACACGGTCAACAGAGTATATAATCCTTATGAACCACTACCACCATTTTCAGCTGTCTCACAGTTAAGCTTTGTGTGCCCGTCCTTTAAGCATAACCGTTTCCTTTTCACAATTTGTAAACTTCCTGTCGGAGACATTTGAAGGAAACGAGCACACTCACTAAGTATGTGTACGTCGCCACAGATAACACTTTCCTAAACATCCAATACTTTCAGAACCTCTCGTCACAGATGAATTTGTCTTACTCGCTGACCTCTCGGTTTCAGAAGCCGGATGCAATATACTGGTGAATATATCCATAGTCTGATTAACATTATCTGTCACTAATCTCAGTATATCGTCGAAGCCTGGCTCTAAACCTCCCTCTTCTAAACGGGAGCTGATTTTTATTAACTTTCTTTGCAAGCGAATGGGTTATCTCTTAGCGATTGCTTCAAACACAGAACTAAAGTTCAAGTCATCCACACAATTAAAAGAAACGAGTGTTTCTATACGCCATTAAATTATCCAAAAACTCTGCGAGTTCCTCAACGCTATCGTTTAATTGCGCCCGATTGCCCTTAGCTGTCTCAAAAACACTCCTGGATATCATAAATGGCCTCCAAAACCTTTAACGCAATATTCTCATAGCCTCAGTGTATCCTTTGTTTGGAGGCATAAGGTTGCAGCACTGTATAGCTCTTGCAGCAACATAAGTGCAACACCTCAATAAATACATCAACTTCATTCCGTAATTTATTACAAAACCACACAACATGACTTCAAACTTCTTTACTGTGAATGTTCAGCTGAGTTGCAGTCAAAATACTGAGGCTCAAATTTCGGCAAATTGAAACCCATATTATCACTAGACGGCGAAGCAAGAACATCCATCTGATCATGTTGAGCATCATATACATTATTACAAATAACAGGCAACTCATCATTACCTACTTTTCTGTCTGCTTCCAAAACGCTTCGTGCTTTCTTTGCCCCAGGCATCACTGAAAGTCACCAAACGATACAGAAAAGTTCCAAATAACACTCGTCCAAAGAAAACTTGCAGGCACGAGGAAAGACGAATTGCCAACAAATACGGCGAATAATTTCCAAGCTAGGTAACATAAGGACTTAACGCTGTCCTTAGAAGACCTTCGGCAACAATGTGCAATAACCGATGCGAAAAACCAGAACACAGATTGGTGACTCGAGAATCCTATATTCTTGCGCCAATACAGAACCAACCACAAGGTTATGATACACAAAGTCTAAAAATAAATGTTATAACAATTAATCACAATAATACTTCTGATAGTTTTTCTCTGTCTTCTAACAAACGGTGTACGATGGAACGATGACTGCAGTATTGGTGAGTCCCGCCAAAATATGGAGTTGGTTTTGAGTAAACAACCATGAATTGATCGTTCATTCTTCAACTACATTGACACTGGGGTAATAATTTCAAAAGACTCCTGAATGAATCTTCACCTATAACTCATCCAGGAAGCGCTAATCCACTGAAAAATATCAGAAATTCAGCAGTTCATAAAGTTTTTAGAGATGTACGTGGATGCGATGCCCCAAGAATTACCTTAAACAGACCCAGAGGCCTTAAAGTACATGTTACTACTACACAGGCTGTGAAACTTGGAGCATGTACCTGCTGATCACAGGAAACGCCACTTTGTCAAATTGCTAAACAGGAGTGACTTGAGCCAATACAAGAAGTGGGTTGGAACCATGCTCCAGTCCAACTTGAGTGAAATTTTGAGTCCCATAATCCTGGAGGCAGTAAAAGATGCTGTGAATGGAAAACTCCATCTGGAACAATCTACGTTCAGGAAATACATGTCACATGCTAGTCAAACGGAAACATTAGTTATCATCCAACAGAGCCTAGAATGTCAGCCGATTCTTGATAGTCACCTTCTTGAAGGTCTATAACAGCGTCGACCCGGGAGTAATACATCACCTGCTTCGACAGTAAAGAGTGTCATTCCGCAGGCATGCGCGATCCTAACTGAGCGGCTACTAGATGATTCCCATGCCAAGCAATTCACAACGGAAGGCTCTGTAAGACGTCTGAAGTAAAGAAAAGATTACGCCAAAGCTGGCTACTGCTGACGACAACGCTACCGTTTGTGATGGATTGTAGCATACGACAGAGCGTATTGAGTGAGTAGGCGAATACATGTAGGATCAGTAAACTGACCCAAAAGGTAGGGATTTGTCTGGGGATATTTGCCTCATGTCTCACAAAGTGCAAGATTTTTAAGCAGGAGAGGCAATGAAGACAGGAACTGAGGTGAACGCAGAGAGGGTAGAGATGATGAAGACACCCAACCAACAACAGGCATCAACTACCGACGATGGGAGGAATGCAAATGAAGTCATCTCTCATCATTCATTTTATAATTGCAACTTTCATCTCATGTACAATGTAGCCTTTGATACTGTTGGTGACATGATGATAGGTACACCATCAGAGTACCCATGGATGTCGTCCGGTTGACGGGAGTAAATTATTGGTTCTCCAGTTAATAATTTGGAGAGTTCATTTTGATTTCATATTCTTTTACAGGCCCCCACTGATTTTTCGCCACTTCCTCTCAGTTATCTTGCAATCTGGGAATGTATACTAGTCAGAATCAAACATGTTTCAGACGTGTATTTACGTTAACTGTTGCTTACATCGAAAGAAGAGACATCGGCTGACCTGTTTTCCGAATGCTTTCCCCTGCACAGAGAATTCGCCCGCCCCCCTCCGAGATTTCTTCCGGTCTCCAAAGTTTTTGCAGCGATAGTGTTGATCTGCCTGTGTGGTTTCTCCAGCCTCATGCACGGGCTTTCCTTCGTTTCCGGACTTAGGACCAGCTAGTGGACTAATGAACTGGTAAACTAGGAAGGGAATAACCAAAGGTGAATTGATCTGAATTATGTATCACTTTTTTATCAGAGAGAAAAACTGTAAAGTAACTTATCCTCAGTAACACCTGAAACTCCAAGTTATTGATTTTTCACGAAGATGTTATTTTGTCTTAGATGAGGCACATAATATTAACTGGAATGAAATACCTAACTGACGCCTAATATATACCCCTAGTATATATTTAGTGTGGAACTTCTCATTTGGACCTCAGTTTCCGCTTAATAGCTGAAAAAAATTAATGAATAATCACATTTAGGTTCGGAGAGCCATCAAAGCGGTTTTTATTCTAGGAGTGGCGTGTAATCAAAAGACAAGAAGAAATGTTATATAAGCGAAAAATGCTCTCTATACAATTGTGATAAAGGAATAAATTAGCCCTTCATTGATTTTCAGAAGTTATAAAAAACCTTCAACGACCGAATTATTGTTCACTACTCATTTTGTGTTATACAATTCAATGGTTTTATTGAACACTAAATTTGCACAACGCTACGCATTCGATGAAGTGTGTTTCGGGCGCGGAACCACTGTTTGAAATTAGTCGCCATAGTACTTCTTTGTCGCAGTCCAGAAATGCCCAGACGGAGTACGTCCCTATATATTCGTCACCTTCCAGACACATGCAGGTATGTTTTAAGCTTCTACTTTGTTATATCACTTTTAGGCATGACGATTTAAGACGTTGCTTCGGTCGATATGGCAGGATCGTCGATGTTACAATACCACTCGATTTCTTCACCGGAAGAATGAAGGGCTATGCATTTATAGAATATCCTTTTTCTGTTTTAAGTGGTTAACTTTACGTTATTATTGCGTTAATATACCTAACCCGTATAAATGTTTGCCGTATTCGTCTCACAGGCACGGCAAATTCAAACCCAAATCACTTCAGCTATTGGTCACAAATGATGGCTCAGTTGCCAATCAGTTTCAAACAGTCAATCAATAATGATAGGCTCAGTGCATCACTAAATAAACAATCTGTCTAGTTGAGCAAGGTACATGGCAGCACATGTACTTTCAAAGTACTCAGTATTCAAAATAATAAAATCAATCCAATCCAAAATCAGTTAATTTTACAAGTTTTCACACAAACCAAGCGAGTATCGGGACTAGTTGGTCATCGTTTGCAGCTGCCAAGCTAGTTCAATCTAGTCCAATTTTATTAGTTTGCTAACAAGTATAAGTTGACAAAATTCAGGGCCGTCCCAAAAATCAATCCATGTACAATAACATAGAATGGGACTTCAAGACCCAATGGGTGAGTCTCCTTATGTCTTTTTGCTTTTTTGTATCCTTAACTAAGTGCTAACGTTCGAGAATCCTAGGGACGCTGAAGATGCCCATTATTACATGGACCACACACGGTTCATGGGTCGTGATATCGAGGTCGAGTTTACGAGGGGTTACCGCAAAAGTAAGGACACTTCAGTTTCTAAGTTCGTTGTCTTGTGTATTTCTGTAATCACTTTTGGGCTCTTAAAGTCAATAACCGTTGGAATGTATCCCGTTGCATTCCAGCATAGATCATTAGTAAATCACTGCATGCACAGTGGATTGTCTGAATATTCATATATTAATGCGTTTCTTACCTGTTACTGATTATCACTTTTTTGAATCCCTCTTACTAGCTCCTGCTGAAATGCGTCTTAAAGAAAGGCGCGATGATACACACCGAGGCGGCAGACGGTATCGATCCCGGTCCCGATCAAGGTAATCTGGATATATTTGGTTATTTTCTAGTCGTAGATCCAATTCCAGACAGAAAGGTGTGGAGCCATATTATCGAGGCCGACCTAATGACCGCCGAGATGATTCACGAAGACGAGTGAACAACGTCCGTCCTAATAGATCAGCGTCCAGGTCAAGATCACCCACCAGATCCCGATCAGCAAGTCACGATGGAATGGACAATGGTGATGAAGTACGTAAAGGGAGTCGGCGCAATGACCGCAGGGATAACCGTGCTGTCTCTCGAAGTCCCGCTCACAGACGCGGTTCTGTGTCACGATCCCGCTCCGGTTCATATTAATCATGTATATGCTCTTACTCTAATTTTATGCAATGCAATGGATACTTTTCGTCATTGCGTATGTGTTTAATTACAATAAATGTCTATGCAGACATCAGAGCTGCATTTATGCCCATTATGCTACATTGCATTCTTTGTTTGCGTTCGAACTTGCTAATTTCAGAAAGTTGCTTATACGAATTTTTCAAATTGATATTCCTAAATAAAACTTATGCAACTGTGAACATCAAAGCTCGTTTCAGTTTTCGACTGCGTTCTATAATTTACGTGAGGAATGTGTCTAAAACTGAAGGTACGTAAATTCACTCTATTTACGTGTTAATTATGTGCAGTTGTAACAAGTTAGTGATGTATTAAAGTGATGCCAGCACTTGAGAATTGTCTCCACCGTTTTTCGTAGATACAGGTTGTAGTGATCGCATGTCATAGAATTCAATCTCGACAGGTATTAAGTTGGTTATATAGCAGATTTCACGTATGGGAGGTGTCCCCGGAACCTAACAAGTTGCTGCTGAATTTAGATTTCACCAGAACGAGCTAGTGAAAATAAACCTAGCCATGTGCAGCTGTTCATAATTTACTTGAGATTGTCGAAACAAGAAGTTGTCTCCATTACGAGTACCACTGATTTGCCTACCTAAATACATCTGCGGCAGTTAATTAAGCCGCCTGCTGAAATAACTGACATCGTTTTGCACGCAATAATTTAAAACGAACTGTGGTATTTTCTGGAGCAAATTTTCATGTGAATGAATAGCCAGAAAAAAAGCAGTCAGGCTTCGTTATGGTTGTCATATATATGAAGTGTTTTGTGACATATTGATAGGAAATATGAAACGAAGTGTCAATACTAATTTAGATTGAACATTGGTTTAGCTCACAGAAATAGTGGGAAAAGTACAAATAACTGCATAAGTAATTCCATTATGGGTAAATTTTATTTTGATAAAGTCTCAGTGTTATACAGTAATATTTACTGATAAATAAATACAGTAAAATAAAATTTACCCATAATGGAATTACACTCTACCACAGTGCCCAACCTAGCTAGCATTTTCTTCGGGCGCACTGCAGACTTTTCGGGGCAAAAAACTTTGGGCGCATTGCCGATCTTGAGTATTTGACCCGAAGACTGCCCCAAAAAGTCTGCAATGCGCCCGACGTCTGCCCCAAATATAAACTACAGCCTGGTGCACCACGCTTACGGTTCCGCATTTAACCCGCAGTCGACAACCAACACCGCGTCAATTCTATTACGTACACAGGTCGCTTCAATAAACAGCAAGTTAGCAGCAGCTCAACGATTCACGATATAAAAAAACAGTGGATTTTAATTAGAAATACATTTTACAAGGAATTTACAATCTTTCGACAAGTCAAATAAGTAAAACATCTTATAAATCAGCCGAAAAAGTCATCCGTGTGCTTTCAGAGTCCGGGATGTTCTCTTTGTTGGTATCGACGGTCATCTGAAAATGGAAGTTTGAAAAAATTAATACCTACCAAAGGTGAGCGCCGTCGCTTTCTTATCCTCGACTGTTATGGAACCAACGTTGAATGGCAGTCATGACAGCTTTGACTGTGCTATGTCGGTCAGCTGTACCTACTTGTTGTAAACCATTAATAGTTCCTAGAGAAGCAACAATTAAAAAAAAACAATCACCTACGTATCACAAGGGTACACGTCCTCGTATCCTTGAATTGTTTTTTCTGTTTAGTACCAGCCCATGAAAAATGTGTGCTGTAGTTGGGCTCCAGCAACACATTCATCATGGGACCAACCGATGTTTGCAAATTGCTGTCTACTAAAGTTGTTAGCTCCGATGACACAGCAAGACGATATTCGTCGTCTGACAGTTTGGCCTCAAACGCAGACATGACGCTGTCGCAGTCCAACTACCACCTGCCACAAGTCTTGTTTGTGAACCTTCAATTAAAGTTTTCAATGTAACTGCCTGCTCGAAATCATCTGAAAAGGAACATTATTAAAAATATGACGTTACTGAATTGTGTCAAAAGATTGAACTTGTAAGGCGTGGAACCTTCATCAACCTCTGCATGTCCCCTGACATCTGCACACGAATACGATTTTGGGAGCATCAAGAACTTTCCAAGCACCTACTCCTCGCTAACAATCAAGACATCATTCAGGGCAGGTACCTTGACTAACAGGAACTGCTTAGTCATCTACAAATAATGTACGACTATTACATACGAAAATAGGTACATAAGAAGAAGGGAGGTCTTGCAAGACGTATATTGATATATGTGTGCGTATTATAATTTAATCAAGTGAATAAAAAAGTAAACTCACTGTTTGTTTGTATCCTTGATAGGGGTTAACTGTGGCTCACTGTAAACTGCAGTACTAAGTAAATCACGACAGTTTAGAGGTGTGCAATATAGAAATTAAAACGGAGTTATGCAAAAGACTTAAGCTAATGCACTTCTCCCGAATTTCACTGGAAGTCCTAATACTTGTCTCACCCTCCAAGTTGTCTACCTGATATATTCCAATATCCCTAGAATCCAGTGGGTGTTCAAAATAACTCTGGGGTTTCTTATAAGCTCGAAATCGAAAATGATTTTCGCTTACAATTTCAGAAACAACTCCTGGTATATTGCCTACCACAAAGGAATTGTTGGGGGGGGGGGGGAAATGAGCTTACTTTAAAAGTGGAAAAAGTTGCAGTCTGTTTAGACACATTTACAGATGCATTAGTAGTCATCTCTGATTTGGCAGAGTCCCCTTCCGCTAAGTATCTTTCTCCTAGACGTTTACCTATTTAGACGGCTGGGTTATTGGGACCTGTAACGAGAGTCTGCAGGAAACGTATGTTAGACTTAAATGGGAAGCATGAGAAATTGTCTAGGGGTCCGTGCTGTCGCACATCCTCACTAATATGAAGTAAGCCATGGATATTGTACACCATGTTATCCTCCCCAAATAATGACTTAAAGTTACCTACGAATTTCAACAATAAGTTTTTGACGTCATCTAGGTAATATGAAGAATAAGTTGGGTGACTTAAAATGTAGCATGCCAGGAATAAATCGAAGAAGTTATGATAAAAGCAAGGTGGCAATACTTCTTTCAGGTATACCACTCCTAAATATAAAAGAAACAGTCGGCACTCTGTTGCTTTCCAACGCTCAACGTCCTCTAATGTTCGACACACGCTGGAATTCAGAGGGAGTCAACTTATGTAAGCTTAGCAGTCTAGAGTTAACAGTGTTTAAAATAGTATTATTCATACCATCTTCCCTAGCTGTGGTCTTCAATTTCTACAGGCCAATCAACTTTCGAACTACACCTAAGTATATGAGATGCATGCTGTCTAGAGGAAAAACAGTGATCATGTCTACATGCAATTTCTCGAATGGAGATTTACCCTTATGGTGACATTGCAACGTTTGCCTGCGAAAAGCCGTGTCTGTTCTTAAAGCGGCACATGTAGTAGGATAAACCATGCGATTATTTGCACAACGGCATACAGCCTCACATTTATCGAATCCTTGTGTTGAATTGCTTAACTAGTGCTCTCGCTGGTGTGTCACAGATGACGCCCTTAAGTACAATGTCAATGCGATGGCTGTTGGGTAATGTGATACCATTAGCACAAATGCATTCTAATTCGACTTTAGTGTCCCTCAAAAAAGTGTATACTTGAAGGTTTACATGAACCACAGTAGACACCTACCAAGAATACCTTGTCGCAGCCAGACAAAAGTAAATTCCCTTGTATTGGCCACATCTGCAATTTGGAGTTGTTGAAAATTTGAGCACCATCAATGTTCAGCTGCAGGCCAAGTGGCACTGAGACTTCAGATTTGAGAATTTGTAAGCGAGACAAAATCTGACGACGAAGGCCAATGTGAACATACATCCCAGGACCAACTGCTCTCCTTTGAAAAAAGTCTTCAGTCCTCATCAATGTCCGAGGGTCAGTCGGCAACTCAGGATGCAGGGACCTAAGTTCTTCCAGCACAATACGAGTATTTGCCATATTCAGCTTGCATCGGTAGACAATGTTGCGAATAGCATCAACTGCAGTGCTCTCGCTGCGGTTAGCTTTCTCAGTTGCAGGCAGTTGTTCAGTCGTTAAGTGTTACTCCAATGACGGTGGAGATGCAATGGTATCACAAGGAACATCAACTGGAACGACAAGTTGTTGGGGAGTAACCATGTTTCCTGGCGTAATTTCTGGCTGAGGTTCACTTTCACGAGATTTGGAATATAATTATGTGTACGTTAATTTGAAATAACAAGCTTACCTTCTAAATGCTTCTTCCACTCCAGTTTGTATTTCTTGAGACGTCGGTATTACATTGACCTATATCGGCTGAAGTCAAAGTTAAGTTTCGCTGCTTCGTCACAGAAGATTGATAAATGCAACTTACGTAGTCTCAAATACGCCCGGCGTTGTGGTTCGACACCAGCTGGTGTTATGCTGTCATTTCGGTTATTTAGTGTATTGGTCATGGTTGATGGAGAACCTGTAAAGCTCATTTTACCTATAATAAATCGGAAAAAAATTAAAGATTCAGATTTATTGGTTGAGGATAGAAGGCTTGGAGCCTATGTTAATCCTTTTCTAGTAAATTTCTGTGGTTGTCCAAACCCTTCTTGAACGAATCAACTGAGGTTGCAGACACCACTTCTTCTGGGAGTCGGTTCCAAGAGTTTATGACTCGGTGTGAGAACCAGTACTCAACAGCAATATGATTTCTTCTTGGCTTTTGAACTCTCCTGCTATGTCCTCTAAGGTGTTCCGACCTGGTGGGAAGGAAAAGAGAAAATAGGTCAGGTCCGTAGTCATTATTTAAAATTTTAAACATTGTGATTAAATCTCCTCTCTGCCTACGGTATGACAAGGAGAAGAGATTTAAACTGTCTAGTCTTTCCTCGTATAATAAGTTAGTCATGCCATGAATCATACGTGTTGCTTTCCTTTCAACCCTTTCTAGAATAAGTGAGTCTCCTTTTAGACAAGGGCTGGCGGCCTGGATGCAGTTTTCCAGTCTTGACCTCACCAGAGATGTATATAAGGAGGTGAACATATCTCTGGTGATTCTAGTGAAGGCTCTACGAATTGCCCATAATGACCTGAAACTACGTGCAGCCACCGCGCGACAGTGTGCTGTAGTTTTTAAGTCGTGACTAACTATGACACCTAAGTCTAAGTGAGTCTGAACTGATGGAAGTGTAATTCCCTCTAGTTCA